GCTGTTTTATATTGGTGAAATCTACAGATATCACGTCACTCTTTAATTCTGATTGCAAAAAAATACAAGGTTCTTGGAGGTCTTTTATGCAAACATTACAGATTCAATGTAACTGGCATGCCTTCTGAATCACAGTTTCCACATAAATCTAGTGTGTAATGTAGTGTTGCAACTTTCATTTGGGGTACAAAGTCCAACTTGGGTACTCATTAAATTAGAATTAATGGGAGGAAAACAAAGAGAGTACTAAAGAAGACAGTAGCAAAAATAAAAATGGTTAAAAAAAACATCAGCAAAGATTAAAAATATGCCTTATAAAGTTTTCAGTGGCAGAGCAGAGTCACAGATTTGCAAATTTACATATTTATGTAAATGATTCTCATAATTCTAAGGGTTGGCAAGTATTTTCTGCAGAAGATCAGATAGTACATTTTTTATCAAAACATGACACTTTATTGTCTCAATATGAACATCTAAAATATCATTGCATGGATGTATTATTTTTTAAATTATTTATTTATTTATTGATGTATTTATTTTGATATATTAATATACAATTACTTGAACATTATGGTTACTAGACCCTCCCTATTATCAAGTCTCCCCCACATATCCCAATACAGTCACTGTCCATCAGCCTAGTAAAATGCTATAGAATCATTACTTGTCTTCTCTGTATCCACTGCCTTCCCCATGCCCCCCCACTACAATATGTGTGCTAATCGTAATGACCATTTTTCCCCTTATCCCTCCCTTCCCACCCATCCTCCCCAGTCCATTTCCCATTGGTAACTGTTAGCCCATTCTTGGGTTCTGTGAGTCTGCTGCTGTTTTGTTCCTTCAAGCTTTGTTTTGTTCTTAAACTCCACATATGAGTGAAATCATTTGATACTTGTCTTTCTCTACTTGACTTATTTCACTGAGCATAATACCCTCTAGCTTCATCCATGTTGTTTGAAGTGGCAGGATTTGTGCTCTTATGGCTGAATAATATTCCATTCTGTATATGTACCACATCTTCTTTATCTATTCATCTACTGATGGACACTTAGGTTGATTCCATTTCTTGGCTATTGTAAATAGTGCTGCAATAAACAGGGGTGCATATGTCTTTTTCAAACTGGGCTCCTGCATTCTTCAGGTAAACTCCTAGGAGTGGAATTCCTGGGTCAAATGGTATTTCTATTTTTAGTTTTTGAGGAACCTCCATACTACTTTCCACAATGGTTGAACTAATTTACATTTCCACCAGCAGTGTAGGAGGATTTCCCTTTCTCCACAACCTCATCAACATTTGTTGTTGTTTGTCTTCTGGCTGTTGGCCATACTTATTGGTGTGAGGTGATATCTCATTGTGGTTTTAACTTGCAATTCTGTGATGATTAGCAATGTGGAGCATCTTTTCATGTGTCTGTTGGCCATCTGAATTTCTTCTTTGGAGAAGTGTCTGTTCAGATCCTCTGCCCATTTAAGCTTATTTGCTTTTTGTGTGTTGAGATGTGTGAGCTCTTTATATAATTTGGATGTCAACCCCTTATAGGATATGTCCTTTATGAATATATTCTCCCATACTGTAGAGAATGTCTTTTTGTTCTACTGATGGTGTCCTTTGCTGTACAGAAGCTTTTAAGTTTGATATAGTCCCACTTTTTCATTTTTGCTTTGCTTCCCTTGCCCAGGGAGATACATTCATGAAGAAGTTGCTCATGTTTATGTCCAAGATATTTTAGTCTATATTTTTTTCTAAGAGTTTTATGGTTTCCTGACTTATATTCAGGTATTTGAATCATTTTGAGTTTATTTTTGCATATGGGTTTAGACAATAATCCAGTTTCATTCTCTTGCATGTAGCTGTCCAATTTTGCCAACACCAGCTGCTGAAGAGGCTGTCATTTCCCCATTGTATATCCATAGCTCTTTTATCATATATTAATTGACCATATATGCTTGGATTTATATCTGGGCTCTCTATTCTGTTCCACTGGTCTTGGGTCTGTTCTTGTTCTAGTACCAAATTGTCTTGATTACTGACTGTGGCTTTGTAATAGAGCTTGAAGTCAGGGAGTTTAAATCCCCCTGCTTTATTCTTCCTTCTCAGGATTGTTTTAGCTATTTGGGGTCTTTTGTCATTCCATATGAATTTTAGAACTATTTGCTCTAGTTCATTGAAGAATGCTGTAGGTATTTTGATAGGGACTGTATTGAATCTATAGATTGCTTTAGGCAGGATGAACATTTTGACAATATTAATTCCTATCCAAGAGTATGGGGTGAATTTCCATTTATTAGTGTCCTCTTTAATTTCTCTTAAGAGTGTCGTGTAGTTTTCATGGTATAGGTCTTTCCCTCTCTTGGTCAGGTTTATTCCTAGGTATTTTATTCTTTTTGATGCAATTGTGAATGGAATTGTTTTCCTAATTTTCTGCTAGTTCATCATTAGTGTATAGGAATTCAACAGATTTCTGTGTTTTAATTTTGTATCCTGCAACTTTGCTGAATTCAGATATTAGATCTAATAGTTTTGGAGTGGATTCTTTAAGGTTTTTTATGTACAATATCATGTCATCTGCAAAAAGGGACAGTTTAACTTCTTCCTTGCCAATCTGGATGCCTTTTTATTTCTTTGTTTTGTCTGATTGCCATGGCTAGGATCTCCAGAACTATGCTGAATAAAAGTGGGGAGATCTCTTGTTCCCAATCTTAAAGGAAAACCTTTCAGCTTCTTGCTGTTAAGTATAATGTTGGCTGTGGGTTTGTCATATATGGTGGCCTTTATTATGTGGAGGTGCTTGCCCCCTATACCCATTTTTTGAGAGTTTTTATCATGAATGGATTTTGAATTTTGTCGAATGCTTTTCAGCATCTATGGAGATGATCATGTAGTTTTTGTCCGTGTTTTTGTTGATATAGTGGATAATGTTGATGGATTTTCAAATGTTGTACCATCCTTACATCTCTGGTATGAATCTCACTTGATTATGATGGATGATCTTTTTAATGTATTTTTGAATTCAGTTTGCTAATATTTTGTTGAGTATTTTTGCATCTATGTTCATCAGGGATATTGGTCTGTAATTTAATTTTTCTGTGGTATCTTTGCCTGGTTTTGGTATTAGGGTGATGTTGGCCTCATAGAATGTGTTTGGGAGTATTCCCTCCTCTTCTACCTTTTGGAAAACTTTAAGGAGGATGGGTATTAGGTCTTCATGAAATGTTTGATAAAATTCAGCAGTGAAACCATATGGTCCAGGAATTTTGTTCTTAGGTAGTTTTTTGATTGCCAATTCAATTTCTCTGCTGGTAATTGTTCTATTCAGGCTTTCTGTTTCTTTCTGTGTCCACCTTCATATGTTGTATTTTTGTAGAAAGTTGTCCATTTCTTCTAGGTTATCCAGTTTTTTACCATATAATTTTTCATAGTATTCTCTCATAATTCTTTGTATTTCTATGGTATCATAATGACTTTTCCATTCTCATTTCTGATTCTGTTTATGTGTGTAGCCTCCATTTTTTTCTTGATAAGTATGACTAGGGATTTATCTATTTTGTTTATTTTCTTGAAGTACCAGCTCCTGCTTTCATTGATTCTTTCTTACGTTTATTCTTCTCAATTTTATTTATTTCTGCTTTAATCTTTATTATGTCCATCCTTCTACTGGTTTTGGGCCTCATTTGTTCTTCCTTTTCTAGTTTCATTAATTGTGAGTTTAGACTGTTCATTTAGGATTGTTCTTCTTGCATAGATGAATTATTAAAATAAAAATCATGAATGGTAGAAACAATTGTCACATCCAATAAAATTAAAGTTTTTAAAATAATAAGACACTAATTTAGAATGCATATAAATAAATTAAAAGAGATGCATTAAATTTACATAACTAATGTTAAAAAGGCAGTACTCAGGGTCAAGGCTAGGATGAGCTGAATGACACTGTCCACTCAGGTTTGTGATATAATGGGGTGATGGAAAAATACAGGAATCAAAATAACATTTTGATGCAGTATTAAATAACAAATGATCAAACTACAGGCTCATGGCTGAGTGCTTGATTTTGTAAATAAAATATTATCAAAACAGAACCTAGATTTGGATGAAGCAAGTGAGAGAGGGATTATGTAAATGCAGACTTAAATCATATTTTGCCTAAAATTTTCTTCATGTGGATATTTTTACATTACTTATGGATTAAAAAAATATTTTATTAAAATGCTGTATATCTTGATTATTGTGATTATTGGGTTTTGGGTTTTGATTTGTTGTTTTTATCATTGTCTTTCCAGCTTCACCCTAGTTGCAGTCATAGAAAGATTTAGTGTGACTTCATTATTAAGGAAAGATGTTGAAGTTAACTTCAAATTTAATATTAATTTTTTACTGAAATGTGCCAGATTATAACAAAGTTTCCCTTGTTCTAAATTGATTTTCTATTCTGACAATATATTCCTAAAATATCTTTTATGTCTCCTTATAGTTTCACATAAATATTTATGATTTAACTGGGTTTTCTTCCCTCAGTAACCATCATTAAGGGTTAAACAAGTGATGTTTCTGAATTGAATGTTAAGAAATTCAAAACACTGATTTGACACTTTTATACCTAATTTTATACTAGAGATTTGCTTGTAGGATGTGCTGAAGAACCTATAAATATTTTTAAATAGTAAAAATAATATAATCCTTACCCTTCTTTTAAAAGTTTCACAATCACCTGCATATTAAAGCAAGAGAAGAAATGTTTTCTTTAAAAAGAAAAAAACTTCTAAAGTGTTCTTAAGGATAGTGCATTTAATGTAACTCGAATTTTCTTGTGTATAGAGTTAACTATATATATTATGAATTATGTCATTTACAAACATATATAGGAAATAATATACAAAATAATATTTTATTTATCAGTTAAGTAATTTTAAAGTAAGTATAATACACATACACACACACTACACACACACTCCTGTACCTCAGTATCAACAGTTCTGTGTAAAAATAACATCCTCTGTTTATTTTCCTATGTCCACTTTAGGTATGTTTACTATATTCAAATAAAAGTTACACCAAAATTCCAATAAATAAATGTATACATAATTACATGAGTGGTCTGACAACTCAAAGGAAAAATCCAAAGGACATTATTGGTATTTTCAATAGTCATCATTTCCTTAGATTTAGACAAAGAGTGGTTTTCTTTAGTCACCTTGCTTTCTTTCTTAAACTCATTATCTTCATTACAGAATTAATTGTCTCCTTCCTGCTCTCTCTCTATATGCTTTAAAATGTCCTTTAATGAGATGCAGTTTCCATAGTGGATAAGATCTCTGATACGAGGAAACAGAGATTTTTAAATATTCATTTAGACTTGTCTCCTCTTGATTCAGATGAAGTACCTCAGGATTGCTCGTGTGAAACACAATTCTGATACCATTTGTAGTAAGAATGGACCTGGCTCAGGAACGTATTTTAAAACCTCTGTCATAGTTGCTCCCAAGGCAGTCACTTGCCTTTGCCGATTTGCCTGTAAGAAGATTCAGTTTGTTCAGTTGAAGTTATTTCCTATTATAACTCATTTCTTTCCCCTTGTCTTATGTGGGTACATACAACTGTTAGAACTTTGGATACATAAGAAGATCCCAGCTGAATGTAAATCATGAAATGAGTTGACGTGTATATGGAGAAAACAAAATTCTAGTATTTTCCAAATTGTTCCTAGTAGAGGCCACATTCTGCTCCAAAAAAATAGGAATTTTTTTTAATATGGACTGTATACATAAGTGGATAATTTTAAACTGTGAATTAACCATATGTCTGAGCTATAATACTGGCATATTTCTGAGATAGAAGAGACTTCAAGGAATCCTCTCAAATCGTATTTTGCAAGGTTAAAGTGCTTCCATATGTAAATAAAAACTGCAGGTAAAATCTGGTTTTCCAGCTATTGTTGGAAATAAAGTTTAATTGGAAAACAGACATGTCTAGTCATTTATCAGTTTGTCCATGGCTGCTTTGCACTACAATGGCAGATTTGAGTAGATGGGAAGAGACCGTATGGCAAATCTTAAAATACTCCTGTCTGGACTTTTTTAGAGAAGTGTTGAACAACTGCTGTTCATTAAAGTAGCCAACATTTGTTTGTTAAAGTAGACTTGCCCCTATAAAGGAAAATGGGATTTGTTTATAATTATGGAAATATAGCAAAGTAAATAAAGGATGAGATAGTGAGTCTGTTTAGTATGTGATGGCGATAACTGAATGGTGACAGCTAATCTGTATCTGGTTGGATAATCTCACACTGGTAGCAAATTAAGAGTATTTTTATTTCTTCAATAATACTTGCAACCTGTTTTATGGATCTAGCTGAGAGGTGGTGCCTCCTTTGTCACATTAAGTAGGCAATTGAGGGATTAATTTTTCAATTTTAGAGGATGATTCTGTCTACTGAATTGAGAATGTCTTTGAGGGTGTTATATATAGGAATGCATTTAAACCTGCTATAGAAGTATTATAATTTTTCAGGTGGCTGTGACTTTGAAAGTGAACAAATTATGGTGAAAATGTTGGGGGAGCACTGTGTATTTTCCTTCGTCCTTGTCCCTGCCACAACAAAGAATTTAAGGGCAGAGAAACAGTAGTGAAGCAGAGTAAAAGTTTTATTTAGTTACTTAAAGAGAGAAAAAGTACAGGCCACCTCAGTGAGGAGAGATGCCCTGAAAGGTTGGAAAGAGAAAATTTAAGATTAAAAGATTACACACTTAGAAAGTGCAGGTGACCTCAGAGAGAGAAGTGCCCCAAAGGTTGCGGATTCCCCCTTTTAAGGATTTTTCATGAATGTGACTAAGGACTGGGAATGCAGACTCATTAAGTGGTCTTTGAATATTTAAAATTGACTTACCACAAGGAATTTACTGCTCTGATTTCTCCCTGAGATAACCAGCATCTTGGTCTTGGAGCATATCAAACAAGACTGCCTGCCCCGTCCCCAAGGTGGGCTGAGTTATTATTGCCTGTTTGCTAGAGAGTAACTTAAGAATCTTAGTTTTTAACTTGCTGGGTGTTAAAAATGCAATCTTATCTTTAAGATAGAATCCTTCCTTCCTTTTACTATGTTGTCTATGGCTGGGCCTCCATGCTAAATTAGTTGCCTCAGTTACAAACTACTTGATTAGGGCACAAGGAGAAAAAAACAGCCTATAGGTAAAGTTAAAAAAATAAGGGCCTGCATGATTAATACAAGACATGGGCTATGCTGAGGTACCCTCCTTTATCTGGGGATATTCAAACATTCCAGGCCAAGTTGCTCCTGTCTTTTTGAGCTTTAACTGATTAACTCTGGGTTTTCCTGGCCTTACTCTCTTTCCACCCTGCTCATATCTATTTTCCTGCCTAACAAAAATGAGGAAGGAAATCCAGCTCAAACTAAAACTTAGATACAGCTATTCTGTGAGTCAGCAGCAGCCTCCAGTATTCTTGCCACCCTAGGTCTGCTAAGCAGTTCTTCTACAAGGGGATCAGAGTCCCCAGTCACTGAGCCTTGCCACATCCTCAGCAGTCTCTCCCTTCAGACTCCTCGCATCCCTATGCTCTGTCCCCACTTCTCCTGCTGCCGTCTGCAGGCCGTTTCCACCGAGAAGAGGTATAGAGTGTCCACTATCCAGAACTTCCACTCTTTTGACCCCTTTGCTGATGCAAGTAAGGGTTATGATCTGCTTCCTGCTGGCACTGAGGATTATATACATATAAGAATTCAACAGAATGATGGCGGCGTGAGAGGAGATACAGAGGCTTCCTCCTAAAACTGGATGCAATTAGAAAATTTAATTGGCGCAACTAATCCTGAGAGAGCAACAGGAAAGAGGATGCATCAGACTGCACACACCTTCTAGAAAAGAGCAGACCTCTCAGAACACGGTAACATACCAGAGCTGTGGCTCTGGAGGACCCAAGCCCCTCCCCCACCCCAGCTCACTGGCAGGAGGAAGAGAAACGGAGCAGGGAGGGAATGGAAGGCTTGGGACTGCTGAATACCTAGCTTCGGAGATCTGTGCTGGGAGCATAGACTTACATTTCATGGAGCTTTCATGAGACTCGCATAACTACTGGGTTAGAAAGTTAATACAGGCAGAGTTCCTGGGGAGACTGGGATTCCGGCTGCTTGTGGAAAGCAGGGATCCATATCTGGCTGCTCTGGGACAAAAAGTTATACCTGTGTGCCCTGCCCACTGGCTCAGGCAGTGGAGACAGGCACAGGAGCCAGGAGGTGGGGAACAGCTCTTTCCTACCCTAGTACCGCTCCCCTGTGACCCTTGACATTGCTTCAGGGGCTCAGCAGCTCCAGAATAGAGCTTCTGGACACTAGAGGGCACCATATACAAACATGAAACACCAAAGGAACCTTGTCCAGAGTAAAATTGTTAATACAACTCCCGAGAAAGATTTAAATGATATGGACCTCATGACTCTTCCTGAAAGGAAGTTCAAAATAAAAATAATCAATATCCTAATGGAGGTACGGAAAGACATCCAAGAACTCAGAAAAGAATTCAGGTCAGAGATCCAATCATTAAAGAACACGATGGAGGGTATTAAAAGCAGGTTGGATATGGTGGATGAGACAATAAATGAAATAGAAACTAGAGAAGAGGAATACAAAGAAGCTGAGGCACAGAGAGAAAAAAGGATCTCTAA